TAAAAAATATTACATTTAGTTGCAAAAAAATGTAAACTATTTTTCTCTGGAACTATACATTTTAAAAACATGCAAAAATTATACACATTCTACAGTAAATAAAGTGGGATTTCAATAAACATCTGCCTTTTCTCAAAATCTACACAAAAAATGTTGCAAAAAAACAAGAGGCTTAAGGCTACCCAAAAAATCACCTAATATTATTACACTGAAATATTTTATTTTTTAAATTTATTTTTGTTAATTTTATGTGGCGGAGATTTCTCAAAAATGTGATATATTTCTGTTTTTTCTTTGAAGCCCAATAATTTTTTAAGGAATCAAAACTGTACTAAGGCAACTTGATTAATATATGATACTCTATTTTAAATGGATTAACATAATTCAAACAAATTCAAAAATTATTTTCTAAAAATCTTATCAAATGAAGTCAATGTTCTTTGATACCAGGAATTACAGACAAGCATCATTCACATTTTAGTAATCCCACTATCCACATCATTGCACAATAACATGTACATGTCTGCCTCTGATTTGAAGCTTCGCATCGATCAATTTATTCGATACGTATCTAGCGGCATCCTAATGCCTGCCCTGTATTATTTTCAGAGGGTGTGCCAAAATCAAATATCTCGACTTAAGAGTTGAGGTAGAAAAATGAACCAGGAGTTAAATGAAATCTTAGTTAATGTAGATTTTGGGAAAATTATCATTGTAACGAATTTTTATGATCCGACCTTCAAATAACCTTGTCAAAGTTGATAGAAATCTTCATGAATTTCCTTATTTCGAAAAGCAAATATGTTTCGACGTGTCTGTCATCACAAATGCAGCATACGTCCATTTAAAATAGTGATGGCTATACGCATAGAATGGTCGTAGCATAGTAAACAAATTTATCGTAATTATTAAATACAAAAAATAAATGCTCGATGCAGTTAAGTGGAGAAATAAGCACGATAAGGTTAATTACTAAATTCAAAATTATTGGGTTAGAATGTTAATCGATTGTAACTATCCTATTAACAACTCTGATGTAAGTATAATTAAGTGAATTTTAAAACGAAAGCGAAAACCTATATTCGTTTTGATGCAATTATACCTACGACATAGTCATTTAAAAAGGTTAGCAACATAAAAAATAAAATGGTGCGTTACAGAAAACTACTTTCATAGTCTATTTCACAAAAGTTATTAGGTGGTGTCAAACGATTGAACTTTGGAAGTAAACTTTCCTTAATTTATGTGCAATAAGTACATTTAAGAGAAATTCAAGGATACCTTTTAAGTAAAAATGTGCTACCATTAAATCGGTGAACGTACCAAAATTTTAATTCGACTATTTAACCGCCAACTCACTTTCTATGACTTCTTAAAAAAAAAGTATTGTAACAGGAACTCGTTATCGGCTAGTAAACTGGATATTTTGTTAATACGTGTCATAATAAGCGCTTGTATGGAAACGTATTGCAGAAATTTCTAATAATATTCACAGTTTAACAAATTGAAATGCAATATTTCTACACAGATAGCTTTTTTACCCCAAGCTTGCAGCTTAATTAGTTAATTTTCTATTTCACACAGTTCTTTACAATTTTTTTTTACAAAAAGAGTCTTAAAGAATATCGTCGTTTTTATTTGAAAATAAATTGAATTACATACATTTAATATACAGGGTGGACGAAAAAACACAACACGTTTTACATTATTTTTGGGACGCACTATTGGAATATCTTTTCCCATCTAGATGTATTTGTTGTACCAATTACGTTATCCAGTTGGCCTGTTGCGATTTTTTATGGAGACGGTTTTTGTAAAAATTATTAGTAATATTTTTAATAAAAATATAGCTAAATGTTTATCGTTAATCGCCATGGCTTAACTCTACTACGAGGCTGTTCAGAAAATAACAGAACTTTTTTAAATACGCGCTATTAGAGATGTTTAGTGATATGCTGTTGGCAGCATTGCCTTGCGCATAACCTCCCTTTGTAACCACATTTTTAAGGCCAACATTCAAAAATTCGCGCTAAAATAATTTGATGATACGTCACTCTTTATGCACACATGCGATTAGTCTAATTTAGTTTTAGTCGAAGACAGACAAGTCTCATTGTTTGTTTTTATAAAATAACGACTTCGGCATTATTTTTTTAAATCAAAGAAAAAGTAGTCTCATTTATTTTTTTGTTATCGAAAGAGAAGCTTTAATTTTTTTTTAAGAGAACTTTGATTTGCCTATTTTGCTTTAGAGAGAAACTTAACTAAACTTTTTAGTAGCTCTTTTACCTCTCCTCTCTTGTACTATTTGTTTAACTTTTGTGATAACTCAAATTAATAAACTTTGTAGAAAACATGATTTTGTATTTCTAAATAACAAAATATACTATTTATTGCATATTTAAGTTAAGTAGGCCTTACATGCCTTAAGTACCTTCTTGCGATTTTTTCATATTTCCGAAATTAATATCAGTGCTAAAAGTACACCGTTTTCAGACTATTGATCACATCAAAGCAAATTTGACACAGACTTGTACAAATGTACTAAATTAATAACAAAGTTTAAAAAAATAAAGTTCGGTTATTTTCTGAACAGACCTTGTATGTCTCAAATTTCATTGGTTTATAATGCAGAATAATATTTTTGTACAGACTTAAGTTTTAAATTTATAAGTCTTGGTTAAAAAGTCTTAAAGGCTATGCAAATGCATGAAGATGAAAAATATGTTAATTACCAACTCTATTGATTAGGACTGGTAAAGTTTGAAAATAAATAATTTTTTTAATTTTAAGCGGGAGCTGATTTTTTCACAGTTTTAGCGACATAATGTAGAGAGGGATTTTAAATTATGCTAATTAAGGTTATATTTAGCCAGATTTTTAATTAAAAAACGTTCTCTAAAGCAATTTTTCCAAAAATTATTGTTTATAAAATCGCAGAATACCATGAACTGGCAACTAGATTATGATAAGAAAGTACTAGATGGTATTATACAAGGTGATTTACAAACGGTTACCAAAAATTAAACCTCGTATTCTTTGGTGAATTTTAAGGCGTCTTTCGTATAAAGAAAGATAGAGGGTGTTAAATTGAAAAAAATATTTTTAATTTTTTTAAATAATTTAAAAACTATCTATTAGTGTCCAAAATCGGTAGCATATTCTTCTAAATAAAATAGTACGTCACTGCTTTACGGTAACAATCATGATATTTTCGGATTAATCTTTCAATTTTACTATTCTTTTATGATTTTCGAAAAAAGCCTGATTTTCGAGTAAAACTTAAAAAACGTTCTGAAAACACACTTCTATATTCGAATAAAATTCGGTTGAAAATTATATAGTAGGCTGGGATAGCAACTATGACATTCTGAGCAGTTGGAAGAAAGAATAAATAATGCTTTTTATCAGATTCAAGCAACAATAAATTTCGAACAAATTACGTTCTCGTTACTAAAAAGTTCGCGACTGTGTTTGTGAAAATCGAGGTATTTTTGAGCATTTACTCAAATAAAATCATTAAAATGATGACTAATTTTTTTATTCGAATAAATAACGGAATGATATTAGTGTTTGTCATGTAATTTAAGTAAATACTAGTTTTTAAATTGTTTAAAAAAACATATTTTTTTTTTAAGTTTAACACCCTGTATCTTTTTAACAAAGCGTCCTAAATACTTATACGAAAGACGAATACAAGGTTTCATTTTTGGCCACCGTTTGTGAATCACTCTGTATACGAAAAATTTCTTTGATCATACGTCTCAAAAATATTTTAGAGAGATTTCTTAGTTTTTAATGGACTTCACTGTATCTATATATTAATCTTAAAATAACATTGTTATAAGCCTAAAGTTATTACTAATTTGGAAGAATATATTTGGACATTACAACAAATCGAGGGATATTTTAATGAAACAGAATTGTTATCTAGTGTTGCTAGGGTTGCCAACTGTTCTTTATGACCTATAGACTTTGCCAAAAAAGCGGGATTTCTACAAAAATTATCGGAACGCTAATTCTGAATAGTATTTATCCAATTTAAATAAATACATATAGATAGATATAAATAAATCATATACAAAACAAAATAAAACTATAACTTAATAAATTCTACACTAAAAAAAATTTATAATAATAATTAAAGAAAACATATATTCTATTATTATATAGCTCCCATATTTCTTATTCTATTTTAAATGTACTGAACTAATTCAAATTCAAATATGTCTCTCTTTTTTAATTTGTTTGAATTAGCTTTCACCAACACAATATTTAAGACAGAGTAATTATAATTTAGAATTTTATATATCATTTTGATTTCAAGATTTTGCTGTTGTCAAATTTTATTTCAAAGCCTCGACACATCTAAATTTGAGCTAAATTATAATAACTTTACGTTTATGTAGTGTTATTTTCATTTTGAGATTGTGTAAAAAAATATTTTTTCCGGTTTTGCTAACGAGCCAATTTATTCTTTGAAATTATCGCTTAAGAAATAATTTAAATAACACCGCATTTTGCCTAAAGTGAGGCGAGCAATATTAAATTACCTATTACTTAATACTGAAAGAAACAAGATCATAATAATTAACGGTCATACGACCTCTATGAAATACGAATATCCGTGTCATTTTTTCTGTTGCATAAAAAAACCGCTTTTAATTTCAACACACTTAGCGTGACTACCTACTACAAGGAGCTTGTCTTATTAGAACAACATTCGTGGTTTTATTATTCATCTATTGAGTTAAAGATTCTGTAGTTTCTTTGTTTATTATAATACGCGTTTGTCATTAAGTCTTTTTGTTTTAAAACAATGGTGAGATTGAAAGCAAAACCAGAGATTCTATAATTCCTCAGTTCACAAAAAAAATTGGGCTTGGAAGATCACTTTCTGACAGCAACGTGTTCATAAAAAATGATTTCGCAGTTTCGATACTGAATGACTATTCGATCTACCCTCGTATTCATCATTAGGTCGTCCTCTATCTACTCACCATCTTGATTGTAATCCAATAACGGGCTATGCACAAACAGGAGTCACTAGATAGATTACCAGGCACTACCACATCACTTTCAGTTCACTTAGCACATGACGCTTTGCACTCAATATCCGCCGAAGAAGAAAGCCTTCAAGAAGTTGACTGCGGAGGTCTTATACGACACCACGGCGTCTTGACTTTTAGGAGGGAGCGTATTGGGGGATCGCGAAATTGGTTTTACGTTGCGTCGTATGGGGTTGGTGGGTACGGGGTGAAATCTACGATTTTTTTGTTTAAGCGTCGATGCTTGCTGCTTTGGAAGACGAGGAGATGAGTGGTAAGAATAAGGAAGATAATCTCTATTATTCATAATAGCAGTTTTTCTTGTTAGTGTTAAAATATCATATGTCAAGCTTAGTAAAAGGTATTTTCCTAACACGATTTTACTTCTTTTTAGTTCATGCTATACTAGAACAAGACGGCACATTCTTACGGTGACTATAGTAGGATCATATTCGATACAAAGTAATAAATCATTGCCCCTCAAGGGATCCAGTGCCATACGCTTTTAAGGGTTTTAAAAATTGAATAATTTCTTTATACATTATGAAGGGACGAACGGATAAACTATTTATTTTAAATGTAATTTATTATAAATCCAATTTGTTTTTTAATTTCCACATATGTACTACATTTTATCTCTGTACGCGCCACTGTTGTTTACTTGTTTTTTGGAGGCGCTCTCTGTTTTACGATCGTGCTCGCCAGGTTAGTATTAGACGTATAACCGACCACTTCGTACACTCGATGCACCTGGGCGACTACAACTACTACCAAGACACAGTGCGTATGCAGCGGTATTTCAGATTTAACATTGAACTTCATTTTAAATTTGAAATGGTTCATCTTACGCCTCCTAAAAATGATGACACGATTTTCCTTTGATAAAAGACCGACAACTTTTTGCTCTACTTTGCATCGAATACGATCCTGCTATAGGTACATTTTTTCTAGCATCTCTTCCAATAAAGATAGCTAAATAACTTACTGCGCTTTGGTTGAGGTCCACCTATTAACAGTAAAAAAATATTCGAATATTCAAACAAATTTTCGAAAAATCGTTTGAATGTTTATTGCAAATGTATCCAAACGTTTTTGAAATAGATATAGGTTGAAAATCGAACTTAATATTTTGTACAGAGACGAACAATTTCGTAATTTAGAAATTCAAAAAACGATAGAAATATTATATAAGGAATTTAAAATAGTATTTTCGGAAACATACAAATTGTTTTGTCCAGTTTTAACAATTCCTGCAACAAGTGTCACGGTAGAAAGAAACTTTTTGTGTCTTAAGCGCATTAAGACTTAGAAATACGATGACACAAGAGTGCTTAAACAATTTATGTGATGACGATAAGTCTTATTGTTAGTGCTGATTCTCAATTTTATGTTGACATTATAAGTAAATTTGCAAATTTAAAATGCGGATGATATACCTGTTTTATAAAAACATTCACTATGTTTTTAAAATATTTTGTTAAAAGTGGAGGCAAACGAAAAGCTGGCGGCATTGTTTTATATGTAAATAGATAAGTTCGCTGGCTACCTTATGAAAATTTGCTTTTATATCTTTTCATATTTTTAATGTTCATAAACCAAGTAGGAACAATTTTGTTAATTATTGGGTAAATATATATCTTTGTTTTTTTTCTGTTACTTAATTTTATTGTAAATATAATTTTTAAGGTTCTGATATTATTATTAATAATATAATTTTTTAATTTACGGTTATTGGCGAAGATCTGCATAATAAAAAATGACGTGGAAATTTATTCCTATTTTTTTTATTCCTATTTGAGAGCGGATTAATAAAATATCCAAATAGTTGCGTATTATTTTTTATAAAATCTTAATGAAAATTTTGCTCGTGAACATTAGTTTTTCTATAATGTTGTACATGCAACTAAAAATTTCCAGGTGTATTTAGTCGTTTGACCTTGAAAATTAAAAAAAAAATTATCTTAGCTTGAAATTAACCCCCTCGTAGCGATGAGTGTGGATTTAATTTGCTTATATTTCTTTCCAATGCTCTGAATATTATTTTAAAATGTTTGTCAAAGTATTTACTAATTATTGCTTTACATTATAAATCTTTACCAACCTCACTATTTCACCCCAATTTAGGGGATATTTTAAAGCTTTACTAAAAAATGACCGGGTAAATCTGTTTTTGTCTGCGGATTTGGATTCAGCATCAAAAAATACCCAAGATCTATGAACTCCCGTCTCTGGTACAGAACCGGGACTGTTCGTAACCGGTGTAATCGCGGCCTAAGTTAAACAGTTGCCTAATGTAATTATTATTACTTTTAATCGTTAAATATTGTAGCTATAAACATTATTCCCATCCGAACCGCTTCTCGTTTAGCTTTCATTGACCTGACTAGGCGAGAACCACGCTCCTTTCACAAAAAATTGTGTTTTACTTAAAACTAATTACATTACACATCTGTTGATCGCCTAGAATTCCAGTTACATATACGATCAGGAGTTGTAATATCAGTGTTTATGGAAACGTTCGTTTTCTAGCAATTTATGAATTGTAAAGAAGGTCACCAGAAAGGAACTGGCGTGGATTTCTTTTTAATACGTTTCAGTACTTAAGACGACTGTGTTTAACACACTTAGATTATCGCGGAGCACTTTCTTCTTCATTCGTCGTAAATTGAAAACCCAAAAATGCATGGAAATTTGTTTAGCAAATTATTAATCTCGAAAATTTAATCCTTGTGTAATAAAACCTAATGTTCTGTTCTCAGATGGGATCAAGACTGCAAAATGGGTCACTTAACACAAAACTGTCACACCTACCTACACAAACAGACAAACACAAACATAAGTCTCGCTTTGAAGCGTACTTGACCTTATGTTAATTTCCGAAACGCCTATTTGCGAAGTGATTAGTCATATTAGTGTATACTTGTAAGCTAGTATCTCTATAAATAAACTTAAATAAATAGAATTTTTACTAACTCAGTTACTTTCGATGTTTATTTAAGAAGGTGAGTGAAATTAATTATGTGCTTACTATTTTCTCCAAAATCTTTCCTGGGTAAGTCGAAAGTAGTATGCGAGTTATTTATTTTGATTTAAAACTGGATAAAAACCTGTTGGATCAGTCCGGAGATGTAAATAGAGACGAATTTTCGGTAAAAAGAATAAAAAGTATGAATATGATATATTTTCTACAAATGCACTAAGGGAAATAATCAAGAAAGTTTTGCTAGGATAATCTGTATTATAATAGCAATTTTTCTTTTTAATGTTAAAATATCATATGCCAAGATTAATAAGAATTATTTTGCTATCACGATTTTATTGTCACAAGTCGATGCTTCACTAAGACAAAAGGGGTATCTTCTTATGGTGAATAGGTACATTTTTTCTACTTCTTCTTCCACTAAGGGTAAGTAAATAACTTATTGTACTAGTAATAACTTTAGTAGTAGTTGACAGCTACCTATTTTTGATTAAAAATAATTTGTAAAGTTGTAAGTTTATGTTTTGCTTTGATAATCCAAGAAGATTGATATGTTGCATATTAAAAGTCGAAATTAATTAATGGCACACGTTGTCCTCATTATTTTTCAATAATACATTGGCTAAAAAACATGAGAAGCGATTGTCATGGTTGCTTGTCCCAGTGCAGTCGCAGAGCGACTGATTCGTATTTACATTATCTCGAATGTACCGTAAAATCGAGGTGTGCTGTGCAATACTAAATTTCTCCTGGCCACTGCACCTATAATTAACTCAAAAAGCAGTGTAATGAAATAATATAATTACATTTTGTACAAAAAAATGAAAGTTATGTCAAAATACGCCTTAGTGTTTGCACTCGAAGAGGAAGCGTAAACAAAGTCTTCATAATTATGTGGTGGGCACGAATTATCCACGATGCGAAATATTGATTCGGGATGACGCCATTTGTGGATTTTTTTTACTGCAGATCTATTTTTTCGCTGAAAAGGTTAGTAAACGAAGAAGCTACTAGGCAATAAATGTGGTATACAATTATAGCAAATTATACAAGTCGTCGCAAAAACCTTCCCGATAACCACAACATGCAAGAATAATAGACGAACTTTAAAATTTGTAATTAATAATGTGCTTGTTGCTCAACTAATACCAAAAAAGCAGTGGCGGCTCGTGATCTTTCCACCGATTGTGCTGCGTGGCAGTTTTTAGTTTTCATAAATGATTACAAGTCACGTGACCAGTAGTTTTCTCAAACGCCTCAGATACTAACCTGCTGCGCTGCATGAAATGCAGCTATTTGGTGGCATTCGAAGCGGACCCGATCTAACTTCGGCTTATTTCGCCGTTCACGCTCATAAGTGAATATTTCAGGTTGAGCCGTCAGAATTTCAGTGGTGCTGTTTTTGTATAGTCTGGGTTTGGTCATAGGATTAAACTATTAAAATAATAATAAAAATAATAATAATTTTACATTCATTACACCGATTTTTATGAAAATAAGAATTCATTTGTCTGTTTATGTTTTAATTTCGGTGGTTCTGCACCTTTGCAGCACTAGAGGAGCCGCTCCTGACACGAAGGAGTTATTTGTACCAGCAATTTAAAATAAGTTGTAACTGCTGCCAGACATTTTATTTGAGAATAAAACCAAAACGGTTTATTAGAAATTCCGCAAAAAATAACTAAACACTCATACGCTGTGGCAACGTGGTGCATAAATTGCAACAAACTAAAAAAGCGTGACCATGCATAGTCGTTATATAATATTCAATAGTTTAGAAAAAATAGTTTTCTATAACCAATTCGATTAATAGAAATTTCACACCACCGGATTGTTGTCTAGTTTTCATTTTGCTAATGTCGCCTTACAATATTTAACGTGACCGCAATTTGCATAATAAATCATAACGTATTCACAATATTATATCCGCAAAACGCGAAATGCAAATACAGTGTGTGCGAGTTGTTCCCTTCACTAATATAATTATTATGTAAATCACAAAAATACCTGCTAACTGTAAATCTGCTCCAGCGTAATTAAATAAGTAAAACAAATGTATATCCTGAAACCTACGACGTAGAGATTAATGTAAACAATAAATTTATAGTTTTAGAATCGTATA